GTCGATTGCCAGATTGGAAGTAAATTTGTTGGAAAAGAAAGGATCCCAGATCCAGGGCAGTGAACAGCCTAGAAAGGTGGATTTGTCAGCTGTGTTACTATAACAAAATGCCCAAGGAGGTGTAGCTGTGTTTTAAAAAGAGGTTTATTTAGCCCACCCTCTGAATGGATATGTATCTGTGAATGGACTTCTTCCTATAGAATTCTGAGATATTATGCAGTAATCTGATTAAATTTCTACCCTGTTAATAATTAGGAAAAAGAAATAATTTTTGGCCTGCAAATACTCCGGAGCCATGGTGTATCCTCAGTAGAATGGATCTCAGTAAGACTATGTGCTTAGAGTCCCTGCTTCACTTCCTACCAGCTGGGCAAGATATCCGGGAAATAATAGTGACTATGTCACAGGGTTGAAATATGTTAAATTATATGAGGAGGTCAGCAAAGTTATGAGGTCATGCTAGCCTAAAACAGAGTGGCTACTGTTGCCGTTCTGCATGGGCTGGAAGCCACTGGAATGACTGTGATCTGTCAGCCACAGATATGGTAGCAAACCGCTTTCTAGGATCCCTAGCATTTTCCCTAGCATAAATATTAATAAAATGTTCTGCCTCACCCAAAGTATCCCAGTTTTGGAAATAAATTATGCGGTTATTTTAGTAGAGAGTCTCAGAACAGAACAGGAGAAAGCCACTCAGAAACGCACAGGTGGAGGGAGGTGAGAGGAAGGTGTCTGGACTATAACCCGGAGGGCTCTGAGAGGCAGGCTCTCTGAGTCACATGCCAGTCAGCAGAGGGGGAGAGAATTCAACATCTCATGATAGGATTCAAGTTCAGACCAGAATTGGGGTCTGTTGGGAGAAAAGGGAGCAACCTTCTCCTCCGCCTGATAACCAGAGGATGATGGGGATCCCTGATGAGGGCTGTGGTCAGCAAGCAAAAATCACTCCTAATCACTTTAATTTGGACTTAGTGGTCACTAGAGAAAGAAGGGAAAATTCAGTGTTTTGGAGTGAGGGCATAATTATGGAAAAATGGAAAGCAGAGAAATAATTCACTTTTCGACATGTCAAGTTTCCAATATCTGAAAAGGAGCATTAAAGGAAAACATATCAGAATGCAGGAAGTTTTTTAAGATTTTTAAAAAATTGTGTAGGTGGTCATGCATGTGAGCACATGCGTGTGTTGGAACTTCTAAGCAGAAAGATGTAAGACTGTGAAGGATAACAGTCTGTGTTATATAACCGAGGAGGCTCTAAGGAGGTGTGGCTCCATCCATCACCAGACAGCAGCGGATGCATCCTTTTTGTGCATTCAGCATCATGCATCAGAATCAGAGCCTTAGCCAGTCCATCCTCCGTGAGCACTGAAGCCTTCAGTGAGGCGAAGAGAAGATATAGATAGAAAAGATTAAGATGTGAAGGAAGGACAGGTAGGACTGGCATCCAGTACACCTAATTAGGTGTAGCTTCCTCTTCATATGTGGACTTTAAAGACATGTGAACCAATGGAATAGAAGACCCAAAAATAATCCAACAGCAAAGCAAGTCACCTCTAATTTTTGAAATTATTTTGATTTATCCTTTGACACTTTATACACGCATATAATCTGCTTTAACATGTTTACTCCAATTTATGCCATCTCACTTTATCTGGATCCCTTCTTCCCAGCAACACCCCCCACCCCTTTATTCATGTTTAGTAAAGAGCCACTGGGTCTAATTAGGGTTGTTTCATTAACTGCGACATGGCTATCATAGAGATGGCTGTACCACTGAAAAAAATGATCTTCTCCTTCTCCGTGCCTGTACTTGTCAATGGTTCATCTACAGGTTGGCCACCACGAGTCCTCCATCCATGATGGAATGCTTGGGTTCGGTCTTTTCTAGTAGCCCCAGATGCTCTGAGTTCATGAGGGCAGTAGTCAGGGCACAGGACAGCATTTCACAGCCGCCCTTCCCATTTTCTGGCTCTTTAATTCTGTCTTCAGCCTCTTCTGTAATGGCCTCTGAGCCATGGATCAAATGACGCACATGACTTACTTATGGTGAACACTGAGCAGCCAGTTTTTTTTTTTTTTATCAGTGATGGGTCTCTACACTAACCACTGCCCACTGAGAGCATCAGTGATCTCTGTGTGTGGAAGTATCCTTGCTCCCCCCACCCCCGCAGCCTGCTTACCACCTCTCGGCCAGCCACCTTACCACCGCCTTCCAGCTAGGGGTCCTAGGTTGACATCACCAACTCCACTAGGTCCCACTGCCTGAGAGGAAGTCCTAGAACTATGAAAGGTAGCCCACAGAGAAGTCTCCAGCTCAGTGCCAGCTTGCTTTCTCTATGTCACGTAATGAAAGTGAATGGTATCTTAGGGTCTTAGCATCTAGTTCTGTTGGGTAACCAAGAACAAGAGCCTTTATTGCTTTGGGAGCTCTCAGAGCCTCCCTGACAAAGAGCTCATGGGGAGGTGTCTCGTGCCTGGTTCTGGGATTTTTGTTTAATACTCTTTGACTTCTGGGAGCAACACTATCTACTCATGCATGCTATCTCAGTTCAAACTCCTTAAAAATTAAGTTTCTAAATTAGCTCATAAAATAGTGGGTTTCCATATAACGTTTTCATGCATCCTTATTTTTACTCAACCTTCCCCTCAATGCTCTCCTTCCTTCCATCTGCTCAGCCCTATGCCCTCTTAAATAGCCGCCTTTTGACACAAAGATGCCAAAAATGTGCATTGGAGCATCTTCAATAAATGATGTTGGGAAAGCTGGATGCCACTATGTAGAAGAATTCAATTAGATCCTTATCGGTTACCCAGTTTGATTGAAAGTGGATCAAAGACCCTAATGGAAAATAAGAAATTCTGAAAATGACAAAGGAAAGCTTAAGCAAGCCCTTCAATATAGACAAGGAAATTCTGCAAAGGACTCCAGCAGCTAGAGAAGAACAGGAACTGACAATTGGGGTTATGTGAGATTGAACAGCTCCCGCACAGCAAAAGAAACCATCTGCAGAGTCGAAACAGTTTACACAACAGGAGAAAATCTTTCCCAGCCAACCTCTTCTGTTCATGTTCTGCCCTGTCTCATATCTCATCAGACATAGATCCACAGATCTTAATGTGCTTAAGAAAAACAGTTACCTACTCAAGATCCTATCTGTCCATGAGCATCCAGGATAGAGGGTGAGAAAGAGAAAGGAAGAGAACAGTTGACTTGTCAGATTCCTGCATTAAAGAAAGAAATTGGGAGATAGTGAGACAGCCATCTAGTGGTCTCTGGAGCTGTGTTTTTACAGCCCAGTACAGCCAAGACTGTCATGTTGCTTTAACATTTTACTTTCCTAACCTAAAGATGATTTCAAATGACTTTTTCAAAGGGACAAGAGTGTTCTGCATGTAGTATCTTACAACCACTTTTCAACTTTGATGAAGCTGACGGGCTAGGCAAAGTGTTCAGTCTGTGTTTCTGCTTTCGTATTAACCTGATGGCATTGATGATTTAACTTTGAAATTATGTGCTTTACCTCTTCTTGAAATAACATTGTGTTTTATTTTCTGTGTGAAATATCTCATTACTCAAGCATGATGAGAGAATTTAGCTGAAGTGGATGAACTTTCTTCTGGAAGGCAGAGTGTGACTGTAACCTAACCTATTTGGTTGAGTCATGATTTGTTTTGTTTATTTTGAAGAGATTTCCTTCTTAGTTAGGATTTTTTTTCTGATTGAAAATTTCACCTAGGATAAGCTGATTGCATCAGCAAGAATTTCAAACCTACTTTGAATTGCTAAGCCAAGATTATTTGTAAACTCTGACTAGTGTGTTAGTGTAAATTTGGAAAGACTTTGTATCCCCTTGCACAAATGTCTTAAGATTTTATTCTTCGGTGGTTTACAGCAAACCATTTATGACTTTTTGGCTTCGCATGGCCCTGAAAAAAAAAGGCTTATAAAAGTTATCCAGTGGTGTTGTAGATGCAGTTAAATGTAGGCAATCAGAATCTATAATCATGGTTTCCAAGCAGCCAACATGTACAATAGGTTGAGAACAGGAGAACCTAGGAGGTTGCTGGGAGACCACATGTGTATTTTCCATTCACATAGCAGATGTAATGGGTTTGTTCATGTAAATGATGATATGATGATAATTAGAATACTGTATGGGCTTTCTTTTGATATTGTACCTAACCACAGTTTTTGTATGGCCTGTTTTCATAAAATCCTACCCATGTTCATTCTTTAATATAAAAAAAACACTTAGTGATGGTTCAGCTAATGATTTTCAGGTTTTTTTTATCTTTTATGTTCTTTGTTTCCAACTGCTTTTAAATGATTCTTATATCAAAATAATAATAATAATTCTAGAGCAGCTCCATTTATTGCTTTAGAGGAGCAATTGGATCTACTCATGCTAGCTATAGAGAAACCCTAAGACTGGCTTCTCAGTTGTCACATGTACACATGTCTGATCCATTGGTTATGTTCCACAGATAGTCTTGAAAACAAGTATTTGATTCCATGTAGCTTACGCTTTAGCAGGTTTTTAAGACAAACTTAAATTGTTTGGTTGTGATGATAGCTCTCTTTAACGCAGTGGTGGCTATTTTTATTTTTGAAATCTGATCGATTCCTAAATTTTTAATTTCCATTGCAGTTAAACTGTTCTATGAAAGCCAATGGTTAAAACACACATGCAACCCCGTGTGAGCTATTTTGTTTCATTTCTAGTATAATGTTGATGGTCACAGTGTGTGTGAAGTAGCAGGGAAAAGATGGTATAAGAATGAAATGTAAACTGTAATACCAGTGTTCGAGTTCCCTCCTCTCTCTGTCCCCTCCTCTGTCTCTTTCATCCCTCCGTCCCTTCTCTATATGAAAGTCTGAAAACACCCTTGCTTCTCTGCCAATGTCGCAATCAAGAAATGGTGTTTCTAAGGAACCACGTTTTGTAAATCTGTCTTGTAAACACTCTGCCTGTTTCTCTCTCTCTTTTTTCTCCCCACAGGTGGTTTCTATTCACTGCTTTCCAAGCTGCTAGGAGAGAGGGAAGGTGTGGTTCATGTGCACAGACATAACCCCGCAGAGAAGGCAGACTCCGGTTCAGACCCGCTAGCTGAGATTGCGAACATAGTCCAGAAAAAGGACCTGGGTCGACCTGATGCCAGAGAGGGTGCAGAGCGTGAGGAGAGGAGGGGTAATGCTATTCTAGTCAGAGACAGAATCCACAAATTCCACAGACTAGAGTCAACCCTGAGGCCAGCTGAGAGCAGAGCTTTCTCTTCACAGCAGCCTGGTGAAGGTCCCTGGGAACCAGAACACACAGGAGGTGCGTTCAGGGTTTCTGTGAAGCACTAAAATATGAAACGCTGCAATCCACATTAGCAAAGTCTGAAGGGAATAAAAATGGATAGGTAGCAAAACTCACCAATAAAAAGGACTTATTGGAACAAGTGTGACTCAGATTTGGGCTATCAAATACCACGCTTGTTTGGAAAAGATTTTTGTGTGTTGGTCCTGTGCTGCATCAATTCAACATTTATTTGGTGAGTGAATCCAAAGTAGGACCACAGCTGAGCCATTTTGAAAAGAATGGAGTGTGAAAATTCAGACTCACAAATCAACATGTTCCCCTTTTGCTCACTGGGAAGAAATTGAAATTTCAAAACCTCGCCTACAAATACCAGTGTATGTCATACTTACATTATCTTCTCGGGTAATTAATGTCTTCTCAAAGGAGTCAAATGCGCTCAGCATTGTCATCCTACTGACTTGTGAAATATAGCCATTTTATGACCGATCTCTTGTTCCGTGATCAGCAGCTATCGTAATTGAAAATTGAGTATATATTTCGGAAGGGACCTCCAGTAAGTCAATAATTATCAGATTTGTCTTTCTCTCTAGCCAGGATTTGGCTCTCATACATTAGAGAACAATACCTTATTCCCTTCAGGTTTCTGTGCCAGCAAGCTGTAGAGACCTCATCTTTGTCTGTAATTATACTGTGGCCTCTGTGATATGGATTGTGTTTCATGTGACTCGCTAATGTGGAAATCCAAATAATAAAGCATGTGGAGAGAATCTCCCAAAAAAAAAAAAAAAAAAGGAGGGATATGCGTGCATGGCAGCTGTCCATGCGCGGGCTTGATGGCTCAGGCTGCCAGCTTGATGTTTTCAAATTCAGCTCTGCAGGAAGCCATGAATTATTCAACACCCAGCTGATTTTTATTTATAATTGAAAAAAATTAGCATGCAGTGCCTTTGCTCACATGGAAGTTTCAAGGGTGGTCCGTTGGGACTGCCCTAATGGTCTGTATGAGGTGTTAAGTGGAGGCTAGACTTTTAACTCCTCGTATTTTAACAGGCTCTAACTGGTTCCAAATTCCTCTAATAAAACTGTGCTTCTCCAGAGGTGATCCGGGGACACTCCTTGCTTGAGAATTATCTAAGCTGTTTAAGGAAAACCTCTGTATCTTTATCAAAGAACTAGTGAAATGGCATCTGTGAGCCGGGTGCCCGAGATGTGCAGCCTGGTGTGTCATAACACATGAGGCGCTCTCTCTCTCTCTCTCTCTCTCTCTCTCTCTCTCTCTCTCTCTCTCTCTGAACCTCGGTGTCAAGAGCACAGAAATGTGCACAAGAGCATCTGGTGAAGCCCAATTCTGTTCGCGTATTAAACGTTAGAACTGCAGCCTGCGTGAGTCTGTCACTTGCCTTTTAATTTCTGAATTTGAGGTATTACCATCGCTTTTAGCGTCATAAGGGGGAAATTCATATTCAGGGACTAGAGAGATGTGCCAGTGGCTAAGGGCACGCACTACTCCTGAAGAGCACCCAGGTTTGGTTCTGAGCACATATATGAAGGCGTACAATTACCTGTCACTGCAGTTCCAAGGGATCCTACACCCTCTTATGGTCTCTGCTGGTAGCAGGCACACATGTGGGGCCCATGAATACATGCAGGCAGTCACATAACATTGTTTAAAAGGGTTTGTATTTCTGAAGTCTGAGTTTTTCTAAGAATGAAATCTTAGAGAGTAGGAACTGCATTTTTTGTGCTGTGTCACTTGGTATTCCCGGAGCTAGTCGTGAGGCAGGGCTCAGGAGTTATCTCTGAAGATCTCAACGGGGAAGTTTTTCTTCATCATAAAATGTGGGTAAATGTCACTAAATTTAATAAGTCACTGAGTGTTAGGCTGCACAACTCCCAATTATTGAAAGAACTCTATGTGCATTTTCTTTCTGATGTGGCTTGTTCTGTTGTTATTTCGCGGTTCTAACTCCAAAATCTTTAAAACTGAGTGCAACATAGAAAAACTCACATTTAGTGAGTCTTAACTGTTCCTGTTCCTCTCTCCTGTTTGCTATTATAGCATGCACTGTACAATAACAAAGTTTGCTCAGGTGTCGTTTCATTGCATAAGTCAGAGGAAGCTGGAATCTGCAGCAAGCTTCCATTTTTTCAAAAAGAAGGGAAGGCGTGTTCCCACATATAACAGCCGCATGCAATTAGTATTAGTCTAATTCGTGTGTACTTCCCAGAGTATCGGCAAGGAGAATAAAGGTGATAGATAAAGTGTTATTGTTTCTCTTCTGCCCTTTCTTTACTCAACACGAAGGGTAGAATGGCCTCAATGGTCTAGAGGAATTAACTGTCTCCTTAAGTGCCTCATTTGCTAGATGGAATTGTATTAGCTGCAAAGACGAAGTTAACTTTTTATATGGCATTGTAACTGAAGCAATAATGCAAGGCTATTTTGTCACTTAATATAATAACACAGAGTCATTTCAGATATCTTTAAGGCATGTTAATTTTCAGGAGAAACTGAAGCCAAGCGGAATTAACCTATTGAATGAGGTCCCAGTGTCTGGATTTAAAAGTTGATCATTATGGTTTCTAATATGCACCTTCTAGAGCTTTAATTTCAGTTGATTTTGGCTTGGTTGAAATTTGCTTGCCCAGTTAATATAGTCTTTCTTGGAATTCTGGCCCATCGCTGCTCAGAAGCTAGAGGCATCTACTCAGAACCCTGTTTTATGTCTCTGCTTCTTGGTATCTGTATAGCCCATAACAGTGATGTGTTCATCAACAGCGTATTTTCTTCTCTTCCCTATATATTGGAACTGTAATATGGGGATGGATCCCATTCAGCTGATTTGAGGTTTCAAAGGTGTAATTAGTAGTAGATTGGTTCAAAATTTTGTGTGTGATGCTCTGTGGTAGACCAGGGACTTAACTTTTCTAAACAATACCATTTATAGATGTTTAACTTAGGATTATATGTAATGAGTCTTTTTATTTTATTTTACTTAAAAAACTATCTTTTTTATTTTACATACCAATCCTTTTATCTCTCCTCCTGCATGTCCTGCTTCTTCTGTGTTCAGCTAACAACTCTCCCTTCTTTTTCTCAGAGCTCTCTCTGTCAGGAATTCCCACATATACCTCCTGCCTAGCTATTGGCCATTTAGCTTTTTATTAAACCAATCACAGTGACATATCTTTACACACTGATCAAAAATCTCACAAGAACTATACTTGATTCTGCGTCCTAGTGTCTGTGTTATGCAGGGTCCTCTATTTCATTAAGGGTCAAATATCTCTCAGTGGTCTTGCATTCTTCAGAATGGAGCATATATGCTGTGCAATCTCTGTGTCCCTAGAATAAAACTCCCCATTTTCCCAAAAGACTGCATTTGGCCCAAATAAAATTTAAAGGCCTGGTAACAAAGATCATGTGGTGGAACAGACTCAGCTATGGATCCTGGCTGCCTGATACAGTAGTATATTGTTATTGTTATCACCGATACAGTAGTTTATTATACTAATAGCCTCCAAAACTAAGTATGCAATGCCCAAATATTGTTTTACATTAATCAGAACTTCCGAATGAATATTCTTCTTCTTAGTAAGAATCAGTGAACATTTTTTTGAGAATTTCATACATAAGTACAATGCATTTTGATTATATCTGCACCTCCACCTGCAACTCTTCCTTACCCCTTCCCCCTCTCAAATTTATGACCATCTCCTCTTCTGTGTGTGTGTGTGTGTGTGCATGCACATGTGTGTGTGTAATCTATTGAGTCCAGTCACCATTGCCCACATGCACATGGGTGTAGGGCTGACCAATGGAGCATGGGAAACCGTCACAGGACCTTGTCCTTGGAGCAACTGACGCAGCTTTCCTGGACAGTCATCAGCAGCCTTTAACTCCTTAACTAGGAGTGGATCCTTCTAAACCCCTGCCTGGTTCATGCTGAAATGTTGATTGGTATGGTTTTATGCAGGTCTAGCATAGACAGCCATAGCTCTTGAGAAGTCATGGACCTGTCGTGTCCAGAAAATGTGATTTTGCAATACTCCTCCTGATATTTACTTATTTATTTATTTATTTATTTATT